GTCGAATTCAGCATGCAGTTCTTTCCTGGTCTGCCTTTTGTCCTCTTCCCCTCTACTGAGACATGTAGCATTGTCTTTTAAAGACCGTTAGATCTTATTTCGTGTCCGTACCGTTGCATTTAACGGTTTTTTTTTTTTCTTTTGTAGGTGAAAGAGGTTCATTGTTGCCAGTGTGCTGGTTAGGGTTACGACGAATCTCTTGGTTTGTGATATGGTCTCTGTATGATATGCCAAGAACTTGTCTCAACGATCTCTCATTTCCAATGCTTGTATCTTCGAATGTTATCTATATTTCAGCACCATTTACGGCTGTGGCCTAGGCCCACATAACAAGTATTCTTATGCATAGATTAAGCTGTATACCACTATGCTACAATTAACACATATAATCGATATATACATTTCTTCTGTACTAGTAATATTGGGGGAGGGGCGCGGGAGAAAAAAAAAGGGGGGGGGGGGTGTGCGAAAGTGCTGTGACGACACAAACCCCCCCCCCCCCCTCCCCTGTCAGTCCAGATGTCGTAGGTTCAAATGAACACTAAGGCTGATTATAGGTAGCTAAGGTAAGTTTTACCCAACCAGGACATCACATAGAGCGATAACACTATACGGATGAGGATCACCGGTGGAGAGGTCCCGGAAACCCTGTTCAGCCGTTAGGCCATATTTATGGCCCGGCTATATTCAAGGCCCCCTGCTAACGCCGAGGTGGGGCTTTAAAATAACAAACAAATTGCATCCTACAAGGGAACAAATTGGTTTAAGAGGAAGATTATTTGAAAAATAGTATTGGTTCCCTCATCAACCTAGAATAAACTTGGTACTAGAAAATGTATTGGACAATAAAGGCAGTAAGCATAATGTTGGCCACAGCACTTATCGTTTGCTACAATCGCCAGTGAAACTGTGGCTATAGCATCATTTACCTGTTAACGGCACAATAACGAAAAATGGTTTGTTTGCTTAACATGATGTCTCAGAAGCTTACTTTTCTTTCCTTATACCCAAACAATTGCTGGACATTTTTATCTATCAAATTTATAATTTAAGGGAAACAACTAGAAAGAAATCATTCAATGAAAACTAGCAAATTTGTTCCCTTGGAATGTGATAGCATTTGAGAAGACAATGATAGTGTTTTCTGGACATTTTTCTTTAAGAATTCTTTTAAATAATAAAAGAAGTGTGAACATTATTAACTTCTTCTTCTTCTTCTTCTTCTTCTTCTTCTTCTTCTTCTTCTTCTTCTTCTTCTTCTTTTTCTTCTTCTTCTTCTTCTCCTTCTTTTCTTCTTCTTCTCCTTCTTCTTCTTCTTCTTCTTCTTCTTCTTCTTCTTCTTCTTTCTTCTTCTTTCTTCTTTCTTCTTCTTTCTTCTTCTTCTTCTTCTTCTCTTCTTCTTCTCTTCTTCTTCTTCTTCTTCTTCTTCTTCTTCTTCTTCTTCTTCTTCTCTTCTTCTTCTTCTTCTTCTTTCTTCTTCTTCTTCTTCTTCTTCTTCTTCATTTTTCTTTCTTTCTTCTTCTTCTTCTTCTTTTCTTCTTCTTCTTCTTCTTCTTCTTCTTTCTTCTTCTTCTTCTTCTTCTTCTTCTTCTTCTTCTTCTTCTTCTTCTTCTTCTTCTTCTTCTTCTTCTTCGTCTTCTTCTTCTTCTCTTCTTCTTCTTTCTTCTTCTTCTTCTTCTCTTCTTCTTTCTTCTTCTTCTTCTTCTTCTTCTTCTTCTTCTTCTTCTTCTTTCTTCTTTCTTCTTCTTTTCTTCTTCTTCTTCTTTCTTCTTCTTTTTCTTCTTCTTCTTCTGCTTCTTCTTCTTCTTCTTCTTCTTCTCTTCTTCTTCTTTTCTTCTCTCTTCTTTCTTCTTCTTCTTCTTCTTCTTCTTCTTCTTCTTCTTCTTCTTCTTACTTCTTCTTCTTCTTCTTCTTCTTCTTCTTCTTTCTTCTTCTTCTTCTTCTTCTTCTTCGTCTTCGTCTTCTTCGTCTCTTCTTCATCTCCGTCTTCTTCCTTTTCTCCTTCCTCTTCTTCTTCTTCTTCTTCTTCTTCTTCTTCTTACTCGGCTGTAAGCTACTGCGGAAAGTTTTGCTTGTTCGCCCACTTACGTACTTTAGAGTTTTTTTCAGAATTTGAGTTCTGAGTGTACACTCGTTTTACAGATCTAATTACTTGTGTGCAGACTGTTGGTTACTGGCCTCTAAGACAGATGCACTTTGACTTCGGTGGAAACTGTCACGTTTACAACAGCTTGTTCGGGTGGGAGTGAGGGGGGGGGGTGCGGTTATATGGTTTTCCCGACACGGGGAATTGAATCTTAACTGTTTATTCCTAACGTTAAACTTTCAATTTTCTTAACTGCTTATCCCTAATGGTAAATTGTTTCAATTGAAACTTCTCACTGTAATACTTACGTGCGAACAGCGACACAGGCGGACAATTCTTATCAGCTGTTCGAACTGGCGGCAGAACACTTATGGTTTATAACCGTGTGCAATGACGCTGGTTCACATCTCCCGACTTTACCTTTACCTTTTACATTTAAGGTCTATCACCGTCTGCCCAAAGTGAACAGAAATATGATCTGAACTGGATTTGAATAGGTGGGGCCGTGGTGTAGTGGCTAGATGTTGGCCTGCTGATCGGAAGTTCGTGGCTTCGGGTCCTGATAGAGCCGGACTTTTTTTTGCTCTAGGTCGACCCAGTATTGAATGTGGACCAAGTGCAGCCCTGGCAAGTAGAGATGGCCGGCGTTATGCTAACCACATCACCCACCAAGTGCCGATTGGTCGATAAAATATAGGTTAAGAAATATGTTCCCAAAACGCCTAAAGAGGTGAAAAGGAGTCCCTTACTATTAGTTACTTACAATGGGTTTGAACTCAATACCTTCTGGCCGGCGAGAGACTGTCTAGCTACTGCGCTACTGATGTATTTATTCTTCTTCTTTAGCATTCCGAGCCCTTGAGATTCATTGCTGCAGATATCACCAGCCTCCATTCATCTCTCTGGTTGGCCTTATTCCAGTTGATGTCACCTAGTGTTTGCAGGTCTGTCTGGACATTATCTCTCCATCGTCTTCTTGGTCTGCCTCGTGGGCTACGACCATTCATTTTCCTTGTGTATACAGTTTCCACTTCTATGTCATCTGAAATTCTCTTGATATGCCTAAGCCATTTCAGTCTATTAGCTCTCATGATGCCAGTGATCAGTGGTGATTTAAACAGATGATTAATTTCGTTATTGCTTCTCACTCTATGTATGTGTATCTAGGACCTGGTTGAATCCTTATGTGTCTCAAAATAAAGTCTATTTACTCGCAAGTGACGTATCGAGCATAAAAGGTTAGATTTATATTTTTAAATACTATTGAGTAAAATGGTCAACTTTACTTTCCAGAGCTTTATCTGGTATTCATTTATGACTGGTCGACCTGACAGTCAAAGTGATGTCCGGGAAGAAATCTGAACTCCCGATCATCAGATCCGCAGGCTGGCTTCTGTCCGCTATACCATGACTGCTTCCTTCTCTGTAGGAGCGAAAGTATTTGTGTGTGTGTGTGCGTGTGTGTGTGTGTGTGCGTACGAGCGTGCGTGCGTGCGTGCGTGTGTGAGTGTGTGCGCGTGCGCGCGTGAGCGTGTTTGCGCGTGTGTGCGCGTGTGTCTGTGTGTGTCTCTGTGTGTCTGTGTGTGTCTGTGTGTGTCTGTGTGTGTTATGGAGAGGAAAAATAGAGCTTTTCTACACGTACGTTATGGATGCAAAACAATAATTATGCTGAATGAATCCAAAGATAACTGCAGCGACAGCGTTCAACATGAATATGGAAATACCAAGAGGCAGATGGAGACCTAGGAGAAGATGCCCTAAAGAAGTTACTGAACATCTTACGACTTCACAACATCACATCATACCAAACAGCCGTGCGCGCCCTAGCTCGCCTTTATCACCGTCAGAATTATCAAGTACCTTTTTGACTGGCGTGGACGATCATGCCTCTCCACAATCTGCGATCTTCAACAGCATGTATTAGTTGGTGTGTCGACACCCCTTCAGGCAATGCCAAGAGGCTGTCGAGAATCGTCTCTGGTTGTCTTCCTCTGTTTCTTTTTCCCTAGACACTTCCAGGGGTCATAATACTTTTCAGCTTCCTTCCTCATCTCCGAGTTCTTAACAAATTGGCTTGTTTAATAATTGTCCAGGATTGACAGCCATTTGTTAAAACTGGCTCTATATAACATGCAATAATTCAGTTCTCAGCCCCCAGTGACGGATTTATTGCATACAATGTTCTTAAGTTTATCAAATGTGGTTTTAGACTGCTACTCTGAGTGGTTTTTCTTTTTCTTTTCTACTTATCATATGCTAGACTGGTAGCGGCAAAGAGAGATGCTGGCAAAAGAAGGTGAAAGAATTACAATATCAAAAGCCAAAATATAAAAATACTTCTTCTTTAAACAATTATGTATTCTAAATTTTTGTTTTCTTTTTTCCCTCAGATGCTCGGATAAAGACACTGGAGCAAGTCGTCATTCGAACATTATCTGCTGGAAGTTTCTCAACGTGGATCACTATCATCATCCGAATTACCCATCGCTTCTTGTCATGAAATGCATCGCCACTTTACAGCGTTCAGATTGAGTCTACGAAGCTCTCACCTCCAAGACAGTATGCTTTATCTCTGCTGTTTGAGCTACTGAGCTTTTGATTTTCACATCCAAACGAATGGACGTTAAAGGCATCATTCTACGCCGCTATAAGAAAAGCATATGCCGAAGAGAGATCATCATAGAACGTATAACACACATGCTGCTGTGGGCCTATGCTGTGGATCTGAGCAGGAAGAAATGAACTAGCGATTGTTATGACGAGTGTTTAGTGTTGATCACCTTGTTTTAAGAATACCGTCTCGCTTTGTTATCTACAAGTGTAAACATGTCTGGGAAATACAATAACTGGAAATAATTGGTTAAACACCTTTTATGCTATAACTGCGACAGTTCATTAACAAATCGTGTCAAAAATGGAGCCCGGTGGGCTGGCAGATGCTCATTTTGTGACACCTCTTCAGGAAGAGGTTTACAACAGTACTTTCGCTTCCATTAATGCAACTGAACCTGCTGATTCTTCAGAGTTTGAAAGATACGTGCGCATTATTGTGCCCAGTATCTTCGGGTTCATCTGCGTGCTGGGTGTGTTCGGTAATTTACTTGTGATCATTGTAGTTCTGAAGGACAAGCACATGAGAAACACCACCAACATCTTGATACTGTCGCTGGCTGTAGCAGATCTGCTGTTCCTACTCTTCTGTGTACCCTTTACGGCAACGGGTTACGCGTTAACTGTTTTGCCATTCGGGGCTGTGGTATGTAAAGTGACTACATACCTAATGTATGTCTGTGCGTACGCCAGTGTGTACACGCTAGCTATAATGTCCCTGGATCGGTATCTGGCTGTGGCACACGCTATTCGCTCCATGACCTGGCGTTCAGAACGGAACACCTGGTTGGCTGTGGCTATAATTTGGTTCATTACTCTCTGCGGTAACATCCCAATTATTCTCCAATGGGATGTCCATTACTACAAATGGGGTGAGAAAGAAAATCGATCTGCGTGTATTCAGTTTTCGGAACTAACTGACCCCACCAGCGGTAAGACATTTTTCGGCTGCTTTCTACTCTTTGGATACATCATTCCCCTAGGGGTCACTATGCTGCTGTATGGACTAATGCTGAAACGTCTTTTGTACGGAGTAGTTCCTGGAGGTGGCAACCAGTCGGCTGAGAGCATGAGAGCCAAGAAACGTGTCACTAGAATGGTCATAATTGTCGTGGTTATATTTGCCATCTGTTGGCTGCCAATCCAGATCATACTGTTCTGGCAGAAACTAGGCTTCTACCCACAGACTATCACCAACGTCAGCATCATGATGGCTGCTAACTGTCTAGCCTATATGAATAGCTGCGTCAATCCAATCCTGTACGCTTTCCTATCAGGCAACTTTCGGCGCAGCTTCCGCAAGTTCCTGTGCTGCTCGGAAACCCCACGTCGTCTGGAGTATGAACGCACGAACATCCGCTCTAATGTAAATGACAAAGAATCAAATGTCACTAAGAGCACCTGTGTGAATAATTCGAAGACATACACAGCCGTGTAAGTTCTCTCATATCTACCTACAATCAACATTGTCAATGCTATTTCATCAACATAAACTTCCACAATTTCACTTGAACGTCGCTCGTCTTGCACTGATGGATCTAAAGCATCCTCAGCCCCATCTGATACATCTAGAATATGTTGCTGACATACATCTAGAATGTCCTGTTAACATATCTATATATATACAATATCATTTTAACGTACTGCGGGAATGTTCTATTCATTCACATCTAGAATATGTTGCTGACGTAGTGCGGGAATGTCTGTGACATACATTTATAAAATCCAGTTTACATCCATCAAGAATGTCCTGCTGGCAACATTAAAACTAGTTTCACTGTTGGAATAGTGTCTAACATTATTATGAGTGCACTGTCTGATTTGACTCTTGTCTAGTTTATTATTTGAACGCACTAATGTAGTTTTTTGATGGAAACGATAGTCAGGTACAAATCTTACCAAAAAACATCCTTTTCTAGTAAATTATTAACACTAAACGGGTGTACAGTTTAAATTATTTCTTATACTAAAGTAATCGTTAACAACATACTCGTACTCAAAAACCGCATATTGTCTTGATGACAATCCTATACAGTAATAAATATGTATGTGTGCACGGTTTGCCATTACGCCTATAACAGAATTGTGAAGATGAAAAAGTCACTAAAGTATGTCGTGTGTAGTACTAAATTGTGCATAGAGACGACCATGCCTAGGCAATGAGGAATGCACAGCTATTATGTTTTATTGTTGTTTTCCAGTATACCGTTTGGGAGTCGCCACGGCGTAGCGGCTAGACGCCCGCGTGCAGATCGGGAGGTCGTGGGTTGGCTCTATGGCGGAGCCAGACTATTTTTTTTTCTTCAAAAATGACCTTGACTACCAGGTCGACCCAGCTTTGAGTGGGTACCGCGTGCAGTTCCGGGAAGTAAAGGCGGCCTACGTGATGCTGACCACATCACCCATCTTGTGCCAATTAGTCTTTAAAAAATATAGATATAGCCCTATATGCCCTATACGCCAACAGGCGTGGAAAAAACACCTTTACTTTTTTTTTTTTTTTTTTGTACATTGTTTGTCGATATCAAATTGCATAACATTGTGCATTGTACATGATCATGTCTGGTAAGATATTTCAGTTCTAGACAGTTTCAAGTGGACATGTTTGTGTGAAGAAAATCTTTTCTTCTACTGTGAAACTTTGTGGTATTTTTTTTTCAAGTTAATATGTATTACATATTTATATTACAAATGCTCTCTGTAGTGCATGCTTGTTGTGCTTGACTGCTGAAAAATAATTATAACTCGTCCCCTAATATAACCTAAAGGTGAACGTGGTTTCCGGGACCTCTCCATGGGTGATCCTCATTCGCATGGTGGCACTTTGTGTCAGCGGTGTTTATCGTTCTGTGGGATGTCTTGGTAGGGTCAAACTAACAATCTTCTTTCTGTTTCTGACAATTGGTTGGCACGTTGTTTTGTAGTTTACAGATAGGCTTTAAAATCTGCCTCTTACATGTGATTTCAGAACATCTTTTATTTGTTGCCTTTTACGACATGCTTGTTAAAGAGCGGTGGCTGTGTCTGTCCCCCGCCCCCCCCCCCTCCCCTTTTCCCCTTTCCCCAAATGAGTCCTACTAACCCACACATGAGATTAAAGCTCATTTTCTAGAACTGTAGACTTATTTTCTCCCATTACTGCGTGGATCGACCCGCTCGTAAAAATTGGCTTAAATCACTATTAGAATTTTCTTTAAATTGCTTAGGGGGAAAAGGCGGGGAGGAAGTGATCTGGCATCACACCACATATATCATCGTCTAGTATGTGTGAAATACATTATCAACTCATCATCATCAGGTGCCTTGCTGACTGGCGTGGGCGATCATGCCTCTCCATAATCTGCGATCTCTTGCAGCATGTATCAGTTCGTGTGCCGACACACCTCCATGCCATGCAACAAGACTGTCAAACATCTTCTCCCGTTGTCTTCCTCTATCTCTCCTTCCACATATCTTTCCAGTGGTCACAACATGTTCTATTTTCCCTCTTCTCATAACATGGCCGAAAAATGATGACTGTCTCCTTCTGATGTTTGTGATAAGTTGTCTTAGGGCTCCCGCCTCTTTCAAAACCTCTTGGTTGCTCTTTTTGGCTGTCCAAGGTATTCTAAGCATTTTTCTGCAAAACCACATCTCTGAGGCCTCAAGAAATTGTTTGGTCTGCCTAAAAATTGTCCAGGATTCACAGCCATATGTAAAAACTGGATGTATGTAGCAAGCAAGAACTCTTTTTCTAACTCTCAATGACAAGGATATATTGCTCGAGATGTTCTTCATTTTCTAAAATGCAGTTTGTGCCTGTCCTATCCTGTTTTTTTATCTCAACTATGCATCTTCCATCTGATGCTGTCTATGTGCCCAGATTCTTAAATTTCTGTACTTGTCCTTAAAATAACACTATCGACTTTTATTATACTTTTATGAATAATTCGTTTCTTTGATACCACCATTACTTCTGTCTTCCCATTATTTAAACTGAGGCCCATTCTTCCACTTTCTAACACCACAATGTCTATCATTTCCTGTAGTTCTTTCTGACTTGCTGCTATCAAGACTGTGTCATCAGCATAACGTAAATTTTTATATTGTGCCCACCAACCACAATTCCGGGCATATCAATTAAAGATCTCATTATATATTCACTGTATATTGAAAACAAATCAGGTGACATTACTCATCCTTGTAGTACGCTCCTCTTTATGCTTTGAAATTCTTATAGCTGCTGTTTGCTGCCAATACATATTCTTTATTATTCGTAGATCTTTCCCATTAATGTTTAATTTTTCTAACAGTTTGATTACTTCTTCATGTTTCACACAGTCAAATGCTTTTGTATAGTCTATGAAGCATATGTACAAATCAGTCTTTACTTCTATAGCTCTTTCTGACCTTTTCTTTCTACAAATCCACATTGTTCGTCGCTGATTTCTGGTTTAATTTGGTTTGTTATTCTTCTTATAATTATTCTCAGTAAAATCTTAGTCATGTGACTCATAAGACGTATTGTGCGATGGTCTTCACATTTTATAGTGCCTGGTTTCTTAGGCAGAGCTATAAATGTGGATTTTAAAAGATCATTTGAATATACCCACTATTATAAAAATCATTTAAAAGTTTAGATATTATTTCAATTCTAAAATCTCGCAGTGCTTCGATTTCTTCCAGTGAGATGTTGTCTGGCCCGGGTGCTTTTCCTTTCTTCATATGATATATTGCATTCTCAACTTCTGCAGTCATTATTGATGGACCATCATTGTTGGACTGCAGTTCTACATCTGGTCTATTATCATCATACACTTCCCCTATATACTCTGTTAATTATATTACTATGTCCCATTAATAAGTCACCATCTTTTGATTTCAAACATCCAGTGCTGTTACGTGTCATCTTTCCTGTTAACATATTTATCTGTTGGTACATGGAATGTGAGTCTTTCCTGTTGTTTTCCCCAATCTCTGTACACAATTGATACTTTTTCTACAGTAGCTGGATGACGGTCGGGTATCACCCGTAGAACATGATGCTCTCTACCGGACGAGGTGATTCCACTGGAATCCCCATTCACGTCGTTATCTGAATACGTATTATTTTGAGGCATGATTTTCTTGGGTTAGTACAGCGGTGGTTTCCCCTTGCATTCCGCCGGTTTGTACATGGTTTGACTCCAATAGCCTTTGTCTAAAGAGACTTACCCTGCAAGGCAGCAGGGGGGAAAGGTTATGGCGCCTCTTACCCGCCGATGGCCATGTCGTAGAGTTTTGAGGTATTTTATAGAGTTAGCTGTCCCACCAACTAACTCGCCTCCTCTCAATGACCATCACCTGTTTTGGTCCACGGCCACTTATTCAATATATCCGTGGCTAACCTCTATATCTAGAGGCCTTTCCACCATCCGCCACCTGGTGGACGCGCCTAGTAGTAGGACAGGCTCCTACCCCAGGACATTATCAACATAAACATAAACTGAATTGTTTATGGGAAGAAAAGAGGGAATTACATCGTATGGTAGTAATTTAATCTTGCCCTTGGAAGAAAACTTAACAAATTCCAGTGAATCGAGAGGTAAAGAAAAGATGCTGACGTTGGATAGAGCACACGTAGAGAAAACCTGAGATATATAACTAGAGGGGTTTTACAGTGGAGTCAGTATGTCGGCGAAAGCCGTTTTTTAACTTATAGAACACATGGCCGACAGATAAGCTGCTATATTTCGGTCTTAGAAATTATGTTAGAGACTTTACTATGTTCTCAATAACCAGATAATGTAAATCAGTGAAACACAAACAAGATGCTGCACAGTTAATTGCTGGCATATTTTCACTGTAATGTAAGGTAATTTAACCTCTCCGTGGTTCTATTATATAGGATTGTCACCTCAAGGATGAGAATCAAACGGGATCAAATCCCAGAAACTCCCATCAACCATTTTTAACATTTACATCAAGGCACCCGGAAGTCGGTGTCTGTGGCTCAGGTGTTGCGAACGCAATGCCGGGGTGGAATTTTCGATCCCAGCTGAGAGCGGTTTGTCTTATGTTGGTTTTGACGGTGGTACCGACAGCTGGCCATTCAGGGGCAATGACAAACTACTGAACGTAAAATTTGCTTAGAAATACCAAAAGAGCCAAAGAAATACTGAGGTTGGTTCTGCAACTTCCCGTAAAGGATACGCAACTAACTTTAACTCGGCGGTTACGTATCGCATAAAGTCAGGACTGTGCTGAAAGGATCAGATTTATTTTTTTCTGTACCACGTCAGGCTTATAACTTTAGATTTTACACCAATATATAATGAATCACAAAATACGAGTCTTTTCTGTTAAAATACACAAAATAAACTAAGTAGTCTTTCACTAGCTGTTTACTAGCCAATCTTCTAGTCTTTCACTAGCTGTTTACTAGCTAATCTTCCTTGATGTGCAGACCTTCTTAAATTT